GCAAAATGCTGTCCGATTTTTTGGGGGCGTTCGTTTGTTGCTGTCCAACCCCCGTATGCAATTATTATGGACTTGTTTTGGAGGTTTCACATTCTAACCCCATGGGGGGTGACAAAATTCTGTCCGATTTTTTGGGGGGGTTCGTTTGTGCTGCCCAACCCCCCCTATGAAATTATTATGGATTTGTTTTGGTGGTTTCACATTCTGACCCCGTGGGGGGTGGCAAAATGCTGTCCGAATTTTTTTCTTTGTATCAACATGTCAGAAATGTCGTCAATCAACCATTGAGTCATTCGATCAGTATGTCAATCTATCAGTAAGTCGATCAAGTTGAATCAACCAATCTGATTGAGGGACGGAGGGCGATAGAGAGTGAATGGCTGTAGAGGGTAGGGGGGGGGGTGGAGGACAGGGATGACTATGAGTTTCAGACTCTGACTCCAGTGGCTGCTGTTGTTTTAACATCTTATGTGATGCAGCATCATGACTAAGCATGCAGAACAACCGGTGAAGAAGCACTTCGAGGCTGTGAAAGCATATGGGGCAGCTGATAAGGGAAACAAGGTGTGGAGATGCAAGTACTGCAACCATAATAGAACCGGGATTGCCTCCCGCCTAAGGGATCATTTCCTGAAAGGTGCCTGCAATGTCCCACGTCTGAGAGGGACAATCAGCAAGGAAGAATTGCTACGGAGGGAGCAGGGAAGAGATGCCGCCATTTCAGAGCTTGGAGGTGTACTTACTGGAGCTGGTGCTGAGGTCGATCTGTCTTCGAGCGAGGATGAAATCGACACAGAGGATGCAGTCACCACTGGTGCTCTCACGAAGTCCTCCACAACACACGTCAGGCAAACGAAGATTGTCGACAACGCAATTATCATCACTGCGAACGAGCAAACCCAGCGTACAGTCGGCGATTGGATGACAGTTGAGTGTGTGCCCTTCAACATGATGCGGAGCATGTATTGGGATCACATGGTGAAGGCGCTGATGAACGCGCCGAAGTCCTTCCAGTACGCCAAATTCGACGAGGTGCGAACGAAAAGGGTGGCTGTCCGAAAGGATGGGGCAGCGGCGCAAGGAATGGCCCGGCAGCGGTTGCATGTTGCAACTCAATGGGTGGACTGATCGGCGAGGAAGACCATTCATATATGTGATGGTCTCCTTCCCCAAAGGCGTCGTCTTGGGCTGTTTGTATGCAGCGCCGAGAGAAGGGGGCAAAGACATACTTCGACATTTTGTCCACGGCTATCCGCAAGATCGGGGAGGAGGCAGTGGTGGGGGTGGTGATGGACAATGCAGCGACCTGTGCAGCTGCAGGGCGGATGGTTGAGGCGGAGTTCAAACACATCTTTTCAGTGTCGTGCACGGCGCACAGCATCGACCTGATGCTCGAGCAGTTTGGGAAGATCGGGTGGGTGGACGTCGTTCTGAAGAAGTCGGCGGAGGTAGTGAAGTTTTTTATGAACCACTCGAGGGTGCGGGACTTGCTCCTCGTGAATTCCCAGGGAGCAATTCTCACAAGGCCAGGAGCGACTCGGTTCGCCACCAATTTCATCATGCTGGACAGCGTGCAGGACTTGTACCTGCCGCTGCAAACTTGTTTGACGGACAAGGATTGGAAGGATAGCATCGTGCTTCCCGAGCAGCGGCATTTGTTTGTTGTCGCGACAGAGACAATCCTCGACAATGATTTTTGGGCAGGAGTCGAGAAGGTGCAGAAGACGTCCGAGAAACTGCTTCAACTCTTGAAGTTGAGTGACGTAGTTGGACCGACGATGAGCAAGATCTACGGCGGGATGGACGCGGCTGTGGAGAGCTTACGCAACGAGGAGTGCTTCACAGAAATGGAAAAGGAAGAGCTCCAGGAGATCTTAATGCGGAGGTGGAACACTATGACTTCTCCTCTGCATTGTGCAGCAATGTTCCTTGATCCTGAGTTCAGGAACTCGAACTTGGAAAAGGACCTTGAGGTGATGGATGGTCTTTGGACGTGGGTGTACTCTTGGGCGAAACCAACGGAGTACAAGGAGTTGGACGACGAGGTGAATTGCTGGATTGAGGGGACAGGCAAGTTCAGAAGCGAGAGGGTACTTGCAGAGGCGGACAACGGCCAACCAGCCAGATGGTGGAGAAAGTGGTGCACTGAGTTGCCGACCTTGCAGCGCCAGGCAATCCGTTTGCTTGGACAGGGATCGTCTGCTTCCGATTGTGAGCGGAATTGGAATCTTTTCGAAAGGATTCACTCCAAACCGCGCAACAGCCTTGCCGTCGCACAATTGAGCACATTGGTATACAACAGATGGAACCAGCATCTGTTCGACAAGCTTGAGAATAAGTCGGTTGAGAAGGAAGACCCGAAGAAGAAGCCTTGGAGGGATGGGTTCGGGGGCTAGATAGCAGAGTAATTGTGCGAGGACGCAAAGAAGAGGGTGCAGGAGTGGAGAGCCAAGCTGCGTGGCGACAGGGAGGAGGCGGAGGATTGTGAGGATGAAGATGACGACGACGATGATGGCGCCCGTGATCACGTGGCCAAGGCAAGCACCATTGCACGCCAGCGGGCCACCAACAGCTTGCTTGAGCTCGAAAGGGAGTTGAACAAGGAGCTACCTTCATGGAGGAAGGCCATACGGCCTTCCAAGTACCTCGCCCGCTTGCATTTGCAGGAATCTCAGCATGCAGGCAAGACTATGACATTCGAGCACGCTGAGAAGTATATTAATGCAAGAGCTCAAGCGTGCGCACCCAATGTGAAGGCGCCTGCAAAGAGGCCTCCGGGGCGACCACGTGAGGTGGCACATGTGCAGGGCACAGAGGCAGACGAGGAGTAGGCGCCCGGAGATGCGGAGGCATCCGAGCGGGGGAGCAAATAGGATGCTGGTCTCGAGGTCGCAGCAAAGGGGCCTGGAAAAAGATCCAGGGGGCGACCAAGGAAGGTGCTGCGGGAAGAGGAGGTGCAGGTGGACGCAAGGGAGACTGGGGAAGAGGGGGAATCGTCTCAGAAGGACACCACCGAAGTGGAAGACGAGGAGAGATTGAAAGAGGGGGAGGAATGCAGCACAAAAGAATCTTCAGAATCATCAGAATCATCGGGCGTTGATTCTGAGGATGATTCTAAAGAAGAGCCGCTTGCTAAAAAAAAGCGCAGAGAGAGAGAGAGAGAGAGAGAGAGAGAGAGAGAGAGAGAGAGAGAGAGAGAGAGAGAGAGAGAGAGTAACTTGAGTAAGTTATGTGAACACATTTTGCTATGGACTTGTATGGAGTATGGAATTCTTTTGGACTGTTCTCTGCAGTTCTGTGAGAAGTGATGTTTTTGAATGTTTTTGTAGTTCTGCTTGTATGTTGTTGTCACTTGTTGAACTGTGTGGTTGCAGGTACCATGTCGAAGCGGGTTGCAGGCATGTATGTTTTTTTTTTGTTTTGTCTGTTGATCAACTTCGTCTGTTATTGAACCTTGAAGGTGCCCAAGTTCTATGTAAGCCGCGATGGCAAATGTATCAGGTCAACAAAAGACACCACGACCTGCGGGGGGAAAGAAAGAAAAAAAAAAATCCGATTTTTTTTTTCCGGACCTCACCATGCATCCGGACCGTCTGGACCCAGTCATGTCCAATGTCCGGATCATGTCCGGATTTTCGGACGTCCGGAAACAACCGGACACGTGTCCGGTTTGGTGTCCGGAAATGTCCGGGTCTGGGTCTGGCGTAGCCATGGATATTTTCACAGCCAGGGCATAGCTGACCACAATGCCTGCGAGCGCCAGGCAGAAAAGGAGAAAACTTAGAAAAGTGTGCTGCTGGGGGTTTGAAAAAGCTTGGAGTGCGGCGCATCCAGGAGTTGGTCCACAGTTTCAATGTGTTGAGACGGGCGTGGTCCTATATAAACCTACTGGGGTGGCATAGTGGAGGGCCTGGAGGCACACTAAGGGCCTACTCACACTACGACCTTTTATGGCAAAATAACTCAAATTTGATGGTTGGGCCAGGCGCACGAGGCAGGGAAAGGGGCAAAAGCAGCAAACAGGGTATCAAACGCCAGCAACCTGGCGGCCCACGGGGTATCAAACGTCAGCAAAAGCAGCAAACGGGGTATCAAACGGGGTATCAAACGGGTATCAAAAGGGGCATTTTGTTACCACCTGTGGAGGTGGTGGCAAACTTTTTTTTTCAGTTTGAGAGTTCGTGAAAGGAAATTCTTTTTTTTTTCTAATTAAAAAAAGGCTAATTCCTTAAACCACCAATACCTCCTAAAAGTGCTCCGCGTTAAACGGGCGTGGCTTTTGGGATGAACGGGCCTGGGCCGGTAGGCCCGATTCAGCCAAGTGGAAACGGCATGATTTCCACTTTTCGTTTGGCCGTTAAACCACCAGTACTTCATAAAGTCGTGCCCGTTAACACGCCACGATTTTACGAAACATACGGGCCACTACAGGAGCACCCAAATTCATCCAACTAGAAACGTTTCTACTCTATTTTTTTTCCACGGCCGATAGCTGTGCCAAGTACTGGTGGTTTAACGCGGAGCACTTTCAGGAGGAACTAGTGGTTTATGTGACGAACCACTTCCGGACCCCGCGCTGTCTTTCGTACCCCTAAACTCAATTTTTTTTTTTTTATCATACTAGCCCAACAAAGCCCCCCATCGTTTTTCTTGATTTCAGGTGCCTTGTTTAGGCCCCCATTTTTTGGAGGTTCTATTGATTCTTGGAATTCTGCTTTTTGTAATTGGGGAAATGCATGGGAAATTACGCGCGCCTTAACGAGCGCATCAGGAATCAGGCTCGACAGTTAGGAATTACGGAATAACCGGAGCCCGACGTATCTTTTTCTTTGCATGAATGTGCTCGGTCACGTCGAAGAAAACTCTAGGAATTTTGTGAGAATACGGATAGGCATAGGACTTTCTTTTCCCATGTCAACTTCTACGCGCAGATATGGCGATTTCAAATTTTAAATTGGTTTAGGACGTAGGTAAGCTGTAACTGTTTTGGTGCCTTTTTCTCTTGTTGTCGGCACCGCGCATACGAGTTTCCTCCTCCTTATTTCCCGCGTCACTTTTCCCCCGCGCTCTCTTCTCTCTCTCCCTTCTCCCTCCTCTTCTTCTCCTATCGCAACTGTTTTTCCCTCTCTCTCTGCTTTTTTCTCGCCTGTTTTCCCTTCTTCATCATCTGAATCTTGGACCCGTCTCGCGCTGCTTTTTCCGCCGCTTTCCTTCTCGCTCTTCAACTTTGGCTCACGAAGCCCAGTTGATCCTCCGATTACCCTCGCTCACCAATCAGACGCGTTGAGCAAGAGGATCATTCTGTTGCGCGACGACTCTGATTGGCTGAACATTGAGTTTCGAAGGATCAGCATGGCTTCCCTTGAGCACCCCTCGCTGAATCTTCCCCTCTTACACGTCGACTTCCCCTCTGTCTTCTCCCCCGTCTGTCTTTTCTTTCGCAACTATAAATTTCGCAAGCGCGCCCGCAAAACTCTCTTATGTTTTCCACTCACAAGCCAACTTCCGGGAAGCAGTGGCTAGGTGATGCGTTTGGTGCGCATCGAAAAGTCCTGTCGGGCTGATTGTACGCTGGCCAGTTGCACGCTTGATCGCCACAACGGACTGTGGGATCCGAGTGAGCCGGGTCGAGTTCATTTTTGTTGTGTGAGTTCATGACTGTGAAGCCGAATGTTCCCTTGTCGGATTCCGGTGTCTTCTGTCTCGACATTTCTCGTCTATCTCTTCCATCTCTCTCTTTGGTCTGAATGACGATGTGTAATGAGTCTGTCTCTCCGGTGAACCGAAGTGAACTCTTGTGATTTCCTGCGAAGAAGAACTTCTTTCGGAACTCTTCCATTAGTTTTCTGGGTAATCCTCGAATGCAAAGGAACCCAATCATCTTGTCTTGTGAATGGTGGATGCGTGTGTACAATCCCCCGATTTATTTATGACATGTGCCCCTTTGTCATTTTCGCACCTTCCACAGTGGATGCATGTATAGAGATGTTGGTACTTTCGCGCTGATTAGACCCAAAGCTTGACGGGATTTTGTTTGAGAATGCAAGAGTGTTTAGATCTGTCATTCTGAAAGCACTACGCATGTCATTTGCCTTATACTACACGACATCTGCAGACAGTCTATGGGGCAACCGCGAAAAAGCCAGGCGCCTCGGGTTTTGTCAAATCTGGTCTGCTGAAAGTGAGTCGCAAGTTGATCTCTCGAAACTTCAACTTGATTATTGCATGGTTGTATATGCTTCACCCGGGTCGAAGGGAAGGAAAATATTAGTTAGTCTTTTTCCCGATTGTGTTTTTTTTTTTTTGATGACGTCTCAAGGTTTTTGCAAACTCATTTTGATTCATTGATATGTGGACTGACGGTCGTATCTCGATCGGGCGCCAACCTCCCTTACCTCCCTCGCCAACGCGCCCCTTCCCTTACAACGAGGAAAGGGCACGTGTTTGCGAGTGGGACGTACGAGAAGCTGTCGCACGGATCGGCGAACAATATTACTTCCCTCCCGAAAATCATTGTTCTGGATTCGTGGACGCGGGTTTTGTCAGTATCGATACACACTTCTCGCCTTACTCTGTGTTGTTGCCATTTAACGAGTTGATCATCATTCCATGGACGGCAAAGGCGCCCCATTGCACTGAGTGCCAGCGTTTTGATAACTACGAATCGAAGGGTTTCCACTACCGGATACGGAGTGAAGACGAGCATAAGGAAAGAGCCACGCGGCTGAGACCCTCCACGTCGGACTCGGAACTGACCAACGAGCGACGTCGAGACTTGATACAGAAACGGGACACGCGGAGTGTACCGAAGCCCTTCCGCTCTAAACGAAGATCCATAGCGCGGTGGGAAGTTCGACAATATTTTTTGGATTGAATTTGGATTTTTCTCTTTTCACGCCGTGCCCGCACACGCGTTCCACGACGCGCGAAAGCAACCGACTTACTTCATCGGGCCAACACAGGGGATTTCAGTTCTGTCTGTGTCCCCACACTCAATTTTCCAAAAATCCTTGGCACACCCCATCTTGCTGTTTTGCTGGGCCTTCTTTCCGCACCTTTAGCACTTCGAACGGAAGTCAGCACAGGGCGTGAGGTTGGTATCGGAGCCGACACGTGTCGGTTCTGATGATAGTAAGTCGAACTGGCGAGAGGTAGAAGAAATCCTCAACCTGCTCGTCGAGATTGCCCCGTGACCAGATCAAGATCTGGTGGGGCTAGACAGGCTATGCCAATGGCTGACGGTAACGCAGCCCCCCCCAGGGTGATTGTTAGTATTCCCGCCGCTTTTCCTTTCTTCCCTAATCATACCCACCCTGAACTTGAAGCTTGGTTGGAAGTCGTCCAAGCTCAAGGATATAGCGCGGAAGATCTCCCCCGCGTCATCACCTTGCTGCTTCGCAACACGGCGCATGATTGGTTTAGGAAACACGGATGGGTAGATTGGAACACCTTCAAGCAAGCGTTCTTGGTCATATTTGATACGGTCAACGAAGACGCAGCTTGGTATGTACTCAAAACCCGACCACAAGCACCAGGGGAGTTGCTGTCGGACTTCGTGGATCGATTCCAAACTACGTTAGACAAATCAAGGCGAGATGAAAAGTCCGCCCGAGATTTATTCATCGATCATCTACGAAGCCCGACGCTAAAAGCGAAGCTGCAGAAAAAGGTCCCCCCTAAAACGAACCAGCTATCCGCTATCATCACCAAAGCGCTTAAGTTAGACCTGATGGATACAAAGAAGTATATCAGTCAGGGAGACGAAGACATTACGGACACGATTCAGGATGTAGCGGCAAAACGACGATTGTGGTTACGAGCGGTAGAACGATTCTATCCCCGGCATGATCATGACCTTCTCGAAGGAGCCGCCTCTGATATCCCGTC